CCCTCTCACTATTTTTGTCTTATTCTTCCACATTTTTCTTTTCTTTTCTTTCTTTTTCTAGCATGCCAAGTGTCAAGTGGCCGTTAAGGCCCTTTTCTAGGCCCTTCCTCTTAGTTTTGGCCCTCCCTATGCCCATGGTGCAGTCCGTTATATCTCGGACTGCAATCATGACTTCCACATGCCCATGGGAGCTTCTTTTTACCTTTATTTCTCTCACACAGTAGCCTCTCCTACTCCGATTTTCTCCCAGAGGTCTATTTTTCACGTGGAGTTTCTTTTGACTTCATTTTCTCGAGGGAGGCTAATCCGAGATTTTTCGGATTTTGTTGTTTTTGTTGTACATCGCTCCCATGCCTCCTGTTTCATGTTTCTTTACTTCTTCATTTTCCTTTTGGCCTTCCCGTTTGCTACCACTAGTGCTTGCACTAGTGGTGCTAATATTTTTGCCCGTCAAGATCTCGATCTTGACGGTGCATCTTGTTTTAATTGTTTTCCCCGCATGCCGCTCCGCCGTTTCTCTTGAGACCTTCTCATGTCCCCGCCACTTGTCCCGTCGGTGGTCCCCGACACTTTGTCCCTTCGGAGGTCCCCGACACTTTGTCCCGTCGAAGGTCCCGGATACTTTGTCCCACCGATGGTTCCCGACACTTAGTCCCGCCAGTGGTCCCGGACACTTAGTCCCGTCGGTGGTCCCCAACACCAGACACCATTATTTTTATTTGGTCTCACGTGGTCCTTGGTGCTTTTTCTCAAGGTGTCCCATGTTCTTGCGGCGTCTACCGCCCTGTGGTGGCCCTCTCTCCCTTGTCTTTTCTTGGGCCTTGCATGCGCCAGGTTCTCTGGCTGCGGGACCTCCAATCCGTGGTTTCAATTAATTGTTGTAGGCGACCCTCATATTGGGCCCTTATTTTCTAGCATCCCACGGCCAACGGGGCCGCCACCTCTCGGCTTCCCTATTCTCTTGCCGTTCGTTGTACCGCATTTGCAAAGTTAATGGCCCCCTTGGCCTTAGTCATGCTGAACTCCAATGGCCCTTCTGGCCTCATGTTGTGCTCCCATGCGCCCATGACCAGGAGCTCACTTGCTTGCCATCGCCGGTTCCTTCTCCCCGCGGCTCTCAACCCCAGGCGTCATTCCTCCCGGCGGTCCTGTCCTAATCCTTTGTCTTTTCTCTCTCTTTTGTCTCCTTACTCCGGATTTCTCTGTCGTGCACAACTTGGCTATATATCGGCTCTCAAAAGTCGGAACGCTATTCGGGACCCACCGGTCCCGACACATTCCCCCCACTCATTCGCGATGTCCTCATCGCACACCGGTCCCCTGTCAGTAGGGGGTCTGGAGAGGTGGACGGGAGAGAGGGGGTGGGGTGTGGTGAGTAGTTAGTTTGCCAGGTTTTTTCTTTTTTTTGTCTTTTCTTGTTCCTTTCTCGAGGTCTCTTGACTTCCTTCAGGCTTCTCTCATTTCATTCATCACCCTTAGAACATCCAGCCTCCTTTTGGCTCCTTTTGTCTCATTCATCACCCGTAGTGCATCAGACTTTTCGCCTCATTCATCACCCGTAGTACATTAAACCTTCTTTCGTCTCATTCATCACTCTTAGAACATCAAACCCTTTCTCGGCTTCTTTTCGTCTCATTCATCACTCTTAGAACATCAAGCCTCCTTTCGTCTTATTCATCACTCTTAGAACATCAAGCCTCCTTTCGTCTCATTCATCACTCTGAGAACATCAAGCCCTTTCTTCCTTCGGCTCCTACAGCCCATGCTTCTTACCCCAGCCTTGCCACCCTAATGTCCTTGACTGATCTCCCTTCCATCCCGTGCCGATCGTGTCCCCTTTCCGGCTTCGGCCACCCTCAGTGCCTCTTTTGATTGGCTTTTCGGCCCGTGCGATCTATGCTTCTTGCCATCCTTTTCTCGATCTCATGCTCACTTTTTTTTTTTTCTGGTCATTTTGCCAGACCTTTCTCAAGTTCTAGCTCTATCCCTTCTACATACATATTTCCCCTGCCAGGCCTTTCTCAATGCCCCCAACTCAATCTTATTCATATGCATTTCTCCTCTAGACATCTTGCCAGGTATTTCTCAAGCCTATGTTCAATCAATTTTACATGCCTTTCACTTTTGGATGTCTTGCCAAGCCATTTTCAAGCTCAAGTCCTAATCAATTTTTCATGCACTTTTCTTCCGGCCATCTTGCCAGGCTTCTCTCAAGCCCAAGCAAAGTCAACTTTGCATACGTTTCTCTTCTGGACGTTTTGCCAGGCCTTTCTCAAACCCAAACAAACTCAATTATGCCAATTTTCTTCTAGACATCTTGCCAGGCCTTTCTCAAGCCCAAACAAAGTCAATTATACCAATCCTCTTCTGGACATCTTGCCAGACCTTTCTCAGCCCAAACAAAGTCAATTATGCCAATCCTCTTCTGGACATCTTGCGAGGCTTTTCTCAAGCTCAAACAAAGTCAATTATGCCAATTCGCTTCTGGACGTCTTGCCATGCCTTTCTCAAGCCCAAACAAAGTCAATTATCCCAATTCTCTTCTGGACATTTTGTCGGGTCTTTCTCAAGCCTAGACAAAGTCAATTATGCAATTTTTCTCGAACTCGAGGTAACCTTATCCTTTGACCGCAGTTCTCTTTATTGCATGCTTTTTCATCGGTAGATGGCATGCCTTCCCCCCACTCACAATGCGATGTCCCCATCGCACAACTGGTTCTCACTCGGAGGAACGGAACCTTGGCCCACCAACTGAGTTAAGAACAACGGCCCACCTGCTCCTAGAAGGCAGGGTGATCGGTCCTTCCTCGGCAGGTAACACCTCATCCTTCCACTTAGTCCGACCTTTTGCGATTACGAGACGGACGTCATTGTTGAGGTGCCACCTCACATCCGACAAGTAGGTCCAGTCCAAGCCTCCCAGGACCCCGTCTTGCCGTAAAGGCATCTCTCGCGAACCGTTCCTCCCGTGTGGTATTTTCTTGGATTCGGCCTCTTTCTTTCAAGAGAGTTGGGACTCTCTATTAGTCTGCGAGTGCAGTTACGAAGAACTTGCGGTTAGTCCCGAAACGGTCGTAATGATCTGGCAGGCGCGGACTCCACGCGGTACCTCGCCTGTCCCCTCCCTTTGGACAGTGCCGCTCAACTTAATGCGAGCAGCCTTGGTCCATCCCAAGCAGCCACTCCGCCCCTTTGCGGTATGGCGTGTGGTTGGGGAGGGCAAATGAGACTTAGCAAAAGAATGGTACCACACCCGTTTGGTTCCACGCCCTTGATGTTTAGGCTCCCAACATGAGGCGCAGTTTGAACTCCCCGACTAGAGCTCCTTGTCGGAGTTAGCTCCAGACGGCGAGCATAAGTCGAAGAGAAGGATGCCTTGGTCCTTCAACCCTTATCCTTCTTTATGAGGAACAGGTCGCGCTGAGACATTCCCTTTAGGAAGGGCAGAGGTCTTGGGGTCGCGGTGCATGCATCGGTATCCCCCTCCTGCTGAGGCCTGAGACTTAGATGAAAAAAAAAAATCCTTCCAATGATATTTCCATGTCTTTTCCAATCCGCCTAGGGCCCCCTGATATGCAATGCAATTTTCAATCCTCAAGCAATTCCTCAATGCAAAATTCAGATCTCTCATGCTCAATCCATCGCACTCAGCCATGCAAGGGGACCCTAGTAACCATTCTAAAAAATGACCCTTATCAGGGGCCATATCTTTCTTTTCCAGCCAAACAACCTTATCAGGTTCATTCTTTTTCATCTCAATCGAGCGACCTTGTCAGGGTCGTTCTTATCCATTCCAGTTGAACGACCTTGTTAGGGTCATCCTTATTCATTCCAGTCGAACGGCCTTGTCAGGGTCGTCCTTCTCCATTCCTGTCGAACGACCTTGTCAGGGTTGTCCTTATCCATTCCAATGTTGGCGCCCGAGGGGGTGGGCCTCGAGGACACAGATCCCATCTTTGTCTTAGGGGTTAGACGATGGCCATCTTTTACAGTTTTCTACGTGCGATATCCCTTATCCTTTCTCAATACCATTTGATATTCATGCATACACCCGAGTTAGCGTCTAGCGCTCAAGTTGAGGTTCGCATCCTCAAGCAACACTTAGCTCGCCTGGTCGTTTAACCATAGCGAAGGATAGGCCCTAGTAGGCAGCCATAACCCTTGGCCTTCATGAAGACAAAGAAGAAGGGTGGCCATGGCTGTGGTGGACCTCAGGTTGTGCCTGCAGTAGAAGAGGGATTTGGACATTGATTCTGCGTCAGCCATTCAACATTATTATTGTTATTTATTGTTTTAATATAAGGGGAGGAGAAAAGGAGGAGGAGGGTTGTTGGTGAAGAAGCAGGGAATCCTCATTGGTCTTTGTTGTGTACATCTTCTTCTTCTTCTTTCCCTCTCTCTCCTCTCAAGTTCATTCATTTCTTTTTGCAATGGGACGGCATTGCACAGTCTGATGAATGTGTACTTCGAAATTGGTCAGGATCGTAACAGCCTGTGTCTCTGCCTCCCACGTGATTACAGACTCTTTTGCCAGACCCGGCTGTGGCAGACAGAGATTTGGTTTGTCGTGGTCTTTACCTGGCACTGAGCTGCAATGGGACCGGGACTGGACACATGGCGACTCGCAACCTATTGACTTTAGGACCGTCTACTGTTCTTACCAGTCTTATCCTATCATATGTCTATGTTAACCTGTATAGTACCTGCCGGGAAGTTCTACTTCGGGCCTAAGGTACAAAAGCAAATGGGACACGGTACCAGGGCCATACTGTGGCAGCGTGTGAATCTTTTGACTCCCACCGGCCTAAATTTGAGATCCCCCGAGAAGTACTCTTTCAGCTAGGCTAGCCTGCCTTGTTAAATCAGCAATGCCCAGACGGCTATAGGAATTTGGCAGTGGTAGTTTGCCATGAGCTATTGGAATCAGCAATGCTTATCAAGACTTTGCTTAAGAAAGGGTTCATCAGGTTGAAATGACGATGAGAGCATCAGGAGTAGCTACCTGTCAAACTCCGAATCCCCCTGCGTGCTTGCTCATAATGCGAGACTGTGCAAGGTGTGGTCTCACGCTGTTGCTACTGCTGCTGCGCTTTAGCTGCCACAGCTGCTCCCACTGCGGCTGCGGCTGCTGTGGCGGTTGCTGCAGCGGCAGCGGCTGCGGTGGCGGCTGTTGCAGTGGGTCCTGTGGCTGCTGCTGCAGTGACTGCTTCGGTGGCTGCTGCTGTGGCTGCTGCTGTGGTTGCAGCTGCGACTGCTGCTGCTGCTGCTGCTGCTGTGGCAGCGGTGGCGGTTTCTGCAGTGGCTGCCGCTGCGGCTGCTGCTGGGACAGCTGCCGCGACTGTGGCGGCGGCAGCGGCTGCTGCTGCTGCTGCGGCGGCGGCGGCGGCTGTGACTGGGGCTGCCTCAGCAGCTTCTTCTGCTTCTTCTTCTTCTTCTTCTTCTTCTTCTTCTTCTTCTTCTTCTTCTTCTTCTTCTTCTTCTTCTTCTTCTTCTCCTTCTTCTTCCTCCTCCTCCTCCTCCTCTTCTTCTTCTTCTTCTTCTTCTTCTTCTTCTTCTNTCTTCTTCTTCTTCTTCTTCTTCTTCTTCTTCTTCTTCTTCTTCTTCTTCTTCTTCTTCTTCTTCTTCTTCTTCTTCTTCTTCTTCCTCCTCCTCTTTATCCTCCTCCTCCTCCTCCTCCTCCTCTTCTTCTTCTTCCTCTTCTTCTTCTTCTTCTTCTTCTTCTTCTTCTTCTTCTTCTTCTTCTTCCTCCTCCTCCTCCTCCTCCTCCTCCTCCTCTTCCTCTTCCTCTTCTTTCTTCTTCTTCATCGTCATCGTCGTCATCGTCTCATTCTCCTCCTGCTTCGTCTATGGTACTTCTTCCCATGTGTGTGAGGCAAGTAGGGTTCTTCTTCCATGTATGCTCACCTCCTTGGCTATCTCATGAGTGATGATGTATGTGTGTGCTGAGTCGAGAGTCCCATCAGTCCGATTGGTGTGTTTTCAGCCTTCTGCTGTTTCTATTGTTGTTCCTCAACGCTTCCGTGATTCCTTGGTTTTGTGACGTGCCTATCTGATGAGAGGCATGTGGCATCTCGGTTGTGTGCCACTATGCCACATATAATCAAATACCTTCATTTCATAAATTCCACCCTCAGCGTAAAACCAGTGGATATTGCTTTATGCTCCGACTCAAATGCTTGTAAAGCCTTGGGCTAAGAAACCTACAGTGTCCTCTCCTGTTGACTCTGGCGCATCATAACACGCCATCATGGCCATTTTTCGTTTGTGGACTCTGCAGATGTCATCTATGCGTTGATAACCCTCCTGTTTTGTATTACAGATGCTTACGGGACGACTACCTGCATCAATGGTCCACATGCATGTCAGGAGGTTTGCCCCAGGAACACTCCCAAACGAGGAAAAGGTGAGTACTCAACTCAGAGAGCCAACAACATGCAAGATATAACCAAATTTGAAAATCAAATGCTCTCTTGCCATCGATCTGCCCCCCCATTCCCCCTCTGTACGGCATCTAGGCTGAACTTTTCTACTTGCTGTAGTCTGTCGTTCTTGCATTCTGAACTCTGTTCTATGCTTGCCGGTGATAAGCAACGGGACTGCTGCCTCCCAGAATAGATCGGGCTATCTCCTTTCAAAAGGAAAGGAAAAAAAAAAAAAAAGTGATCTCATTAACAGTATTAGAAGTGGATTACCAACCTCTACAAGTTTCAAAGTAATATAAAGTTATGAAGTAATATGAACCATAATATGATATAGATTTAAACCGTCAGGTGAACAGTAAGACTCTAACCCATGCCAATTTCTGGAGAGGTGCATGCTGCATCCCTCTTTTGTTTTTGCAGCTGCATTGACTTTGGTGCTTTCTTAGTTCAACTGGATGGATCAAGAATCTTCTAAATTCAATATCACAGGTTCAGATCCTGTTGGACAATGCGCTGATTTGTTTACACAGAGCTTTGGGTTATCTGGACTCAGGACTAACCATCTCGTTTGAAACGGTTTCCACCTTTGCAGAGGCATATGCAGATCCCGGGGTTTGATCCCCAGACGTTATCTCACCCATGTATAGTATTGAGTTGACCCTTGAGTGCTTGAGCCCGTGACCTGTGTTTTATGAGTTGTTGTTTGTCTGTTGTAGGACTGTGTGGACATAGGGATTCGATCTGTAGACCTGTCGAGTAGAGGTCTTAGACAGTTCCAGAAGTCGTAGCTGTAGATCTCCCGAAGGGTCAAAGTCGTAGCTGCTACAGTCCTGAAGAGTCAAGGTCGTAGCTGCTATAGTACTGAAAGGCCAAGTCCACGGTCTTCCGGAAGGTCCGGAAGTGGCCTTTCGAGTTTTCCTCTCACGTTTTCCACAGAAGGCCAGAGGCAAGTGGGCAAGTGGTGCGTCCAACTTCGCTTAGTCAGCGGTACCCAGTCCCAGTCTCACTTTGCACAGTAAGGGGGACTGTGTGCACCTTGGGCCCGGTGGAAAGAGGCAGACCAACGAGTTACAGAAGTATAAATCAAGAGGCAGCGCACAGCCATTCATTCATTCCTGCGGAAGCCATGCGGAAGCACTGCCACGGTGACTTGTGCGAGGTGGTCTGCAGAGGAGCCTGAAGTCAAAGTGGGCTGAAGGGAGTTAGCGCAGCCATAGCTGCTTGTAGATTAGTGTTAGCTGGCGGCCATAGCTGCCATAGGTTAGTGATAGGTGTGTATTCGTGTGTGTGCAGAGTGTGTG